CCCCCCCCCCCCCCCGCGGTGTCCCCCCAGCCACAGGCATCCCTCCATCCTTCCATCCCTCCATCCCTCCACCCCTCCATCCCTCCATCCCTCCATTCCTCCACCCCTCCATCCTTCCATCCTTCCACCCCTCCATCCCTCCATCCCTCCATCCCAAAGCATAGGCGAGCCCCTGAGAGCTGCTCTTCCCAGGGGAGCCCTTGCTGGGCTGCAGGTGATTTTTGGCGCTGGGAAAAATCCCAGAGAAGCCCAAGACCAGTTGGGAAAAGGCAGCATGACTTGGGAATGCCCTCCATTCCTCCACCCCTCCATCCTTCCATCCTTCCACCCCTCCATCCCTCCATCCCTCCATCCCAAAGCATAGGCGAGCCCCTGAGAGCTGCTCTTCCCAGGGGAGCCCTTGCTGGGCTGCAGGTGATTTTTGGCGCTGGGAAAAATCCCAGAGAAGCCCAAGACCAGTTGGGAAAAGGCAGCATGACTTGGGAATGCTTCTCCGCGAAGCTGCCGAGCTCTCCTCGGGGTTGGGGGAAGCAGGAGCAGCCCCAGTGCTCTGACCAGGACTTTTTTCTGCACAGAGAACTGGACGGTCCTTGTGAGAGGCAAGGAGGGAGTTCGGATACCTTCCCATGGGGGCAGAGGCACCTGATGAAAAGGCTTTTGTTGCATCCTTTAATTCCAACTGTCATCTTAACTAACTCCTCCGTTGCCAGCCAGGTTTTGCAGCCTGGCTTTTGGCTGTTCTGAATAGCACATGGCACGTAGCCCCTGGCTAACGGCCTTAAAAACAGCTGCTCCTTCGGTCCCCTCTCGCTCCCAGGCAGGTTGGGAACTCGGGGACAACCATCCTTTGGTGTCGCATCCTTAGCTCCTCTGGCTGCTCTGCAAAGCCGTGGGGACGTGTCATGGTGCAGGTCCATGGCCTGGTGGCTTCTCGACCTCCTCATTTACCTTCTACTGAACTGAGGCATCGTGGAGATTGTTGGAAGCCCAGCCGGGGATCTGTCCTGTGGTTAATCCCCCCACTTTTAGTAGTGGCCTTAAAGCCCTGCTCGGCTGTTTTTAGGGGCAACCAGCTGCTGGTCTGTGGGGCGAGGGAGGAGAGGACACAGAGTGCAGGTATCTCACTGTGCACTCCCACCTCAGGACTGATTTGGGGCTGGTGGCATTCAGATCTCTCAGGTCCTCCCCAAAAAATTGTCTGTGTGTTTCGCCAGGTATCGCAATCCCCAGTCCCTGCTGGTGCCACCAGCTTGGGATTCTGTCCTCACTGTCATCTCCAGGGTGGTCCCAGCTGCACCTGCGAGTCCCTAAACACCCGGCCAGGACAGTGATGGCAGAGCTGGTGGCACGCCGTGCCGCTCTATTTCTGCAGCTGTGTTGGTCACTGGCATCACATTTTCTGTCAGCTGCAGCTGCACCTCGACCTCGGCAGCGTCCCCACCACTGTGGGACACGGCACAAGGTCCTCCATAGCTTGGGACGCACGGGCTGAGATTTGGCAATGCCTTTCTCCTCCTTGCAAGGATATCGTCGCTGAGGGCTTTTTTTTGGAAGGTCCGTGCCCTCGCGCAGCTGGAGGAGATGGTGTTTTGGGAGCTGGAGGCTTGCAAAGGAGTTGGAGGGTTGGCTGAAAGTCAAAAGCTTGACTCTACCTTCTCTCCAAAGAGAGTTTGAACTCTGCAACTGAGGGTTACACCTCTTTCTGGACACTAGAAATTGCGTGAGCATCCCTGCAGCTCTCGGTGCTCGAGCTGGCTTTGCCTGGCTGAATGGGGTGGGAGGACCTCACCCTCTCGGACTGGGCTGTGGGGTTGGAGGTGGGTGGCAAGGGGAGGGCAGAGCAGCCATGCTGGGCAGGAAAACAGCCCCGTGTGATGTTCTACCATCAGCACAGGCTGAATTCCCCAGTGAGACTGTGCTGGTGTGGTGCTAACGTAATAACACGGCTCTGCTTACGGGAAAAGAGGGAACCAGATGCCTCTTTGGAGATGCAACAGGATGAGCGTTCACCACGGCGGTGGAAGAGAAGAGCACACTCAGCCCCGGGCGTCAACACTGCTGCTCACCGGTGGGATCGTGATCCCTTCTGACCAGGCCTTGCAAGCAGCATCCTGACTCCAACGGGTCTGGTTTATCTGTATCCCAGCAAATGGATCCCCCTGGTAGCCCTCCGCGGTAGCTGGTGGTGCACATGCAATGAGAAGGTCCTCGATGCCACATGTCTTGGTGCTCTGCACGTGAGGACAGATGATGGATGGAGTCTCACAGGAGCTGCTCTCCAAACACCACGGGTCATGGCAGCTCAGGACCTGCGCAGCTGGCAGGACGGACTCAGCCGGTGGTTGTCGTCACGTGTCTGTGGATGGCCAAGGATATTTATGAGATAAAGCAGAAGAAATTAAAGCACTCGGCTGCGGTTGAGAGTTTGGCTGTGGTTTTAGCTGGCTGTTCATAAAACCAGAATGGTCAGGTGGTGCTTTGTGTAAAGGGCTGAAAAATCATCTCTTGAAGAGCATCCAGACTTGCTTTCCCTTGGCTAAGAGCTCAGCAGCTCTCATCGTCACTTCTACACTTCTAGGTGTTGCTGAAAAGGTTTCCTTTTCCCTCCAGCCCCCTCCTGCTCGCTCCCCGCTGGACTCTGGGGGTGCTTGGGGCCGGTGGGTGGTTGTGCCCATGACGCCACCCTGCTCCGGCCAAGGATGTGATCCCATCCAGAGCGGGGTGGCTTTAACCAAGACAGGGGACATGAAAATAAAAGGGACAAGGAGACTTAGGGTATCTTAAGCCACAGCTGCAGACCCTCCATCAGGATGCACAGACCTCCTTCCAGGCCTGGACAGACAGTCGTAGCCCCTCCTCATCCCCCTATGCTGCTGGTGGGGTTGTAGCCACTCGGCCCCTTTTCTTAGGTCCGTCCTCTCTCCGTTGCACGTGGAGCCGTCGGAGCTCTGGGATACGGATGCTACGTAGGTACAAAGTATAATTGCAATTTGTCCTTTTCATTTGCTGACACTGTTTTGCTTTGGTTGCTCGCACGTCTTCACGTAGAACGATGGGAGCATCTATTCATCAACGCGAAAGCACGGGCTGAGCCGGAGAAGGGCTAAGCCAGCTGCTCTACGGCCCTTCGGTTTTAAAAATAGCTTTTCTTC